TCGCGAGAGCGGTCCTCGATTTATTTATCTTGGAGAGAAGTTCGCACCGGCCGTGGGGGATGGTTTATCATCCTCCTGCAGCAACCCTCCATAGCATCGTATCTCGTTGCTCTGCCATCGATAGATATACAAGGTGTTTCGCAAGTTTATATCAAACTGGAATATATTCTTCAAACATTTAAAATATAAAAGAAATTTTTTTAAGGATCTTCCCTTTTCGAATTTTGTGTATTTCTGCGATAATTGGAGCGATAAGAAAGTTACTTTCCTCTGTAGTATAAGTCTTTTTTATTATTGCTAAAGCAACTATTGTGGTTTATGGCTTATACATATATTTTAAGAATTTTTAAAATTATTGTACATAATAAAAAATGTCAAATTATGATTATGAAGAATGTAAAATATATATTCGACATTATAATATCTTGATAAAAATGAAACTTTAAGAACATGACAGATGACAAATCGCTGTTCCTTACTCAATTTCAAGGGAGCTCGATATTAGCAGAATCTTAATTGCTAAAAGTTACGGACGATCTTGCGCGAATTTATCGTAGTAGAATCTCCGCTTTCCAAGTTTGATGCGAACCTTGGCGGCGCACCCCGTATAAGGGGAAACCGTGCCAGGTTGATGCCGTCGGTGCCGGGGCGCAATTGGAGAGCAATCGACTGAACGACACGCCGCAAATCAAACCGTACCCGCGTGCGACTCCACCCTCTTCGGGCCGCGCAGCGTTATCCTCCCCCCCCTCGCTTCATCCCCTTTCGCTCTGGATGGTGTCCGCCATCCTTTCGGATGCATCTCTGCCGCCTGTGTCCTCTCAATTCGAGTCGACATTCGCTTCTCCGCCGCACTCGAGCGATTTCGGCAGCTGCTGCGACCGATGCATCACGTTTGCGGGACATTTCTCGCGTTGCACGCGTTGCTACTGTTAATTGCGTCGATTGTTTTCGGGCTGCCGATCGTTTGCCGGCAACGAATAGTCATTGGATAAGCCAAAGAGGATTAAATGGAGGAGAAGTTACGTAGCGACGATGCCCTTGTATACCATAGATTTACAGTATTCCATGGTGGAAGGAAAAACCACTCTTCAGGAATGTATTTTTTCACCTGGCTTTTTATCAGAAAGTAAATCTGCTCGCCACATAATTTTAATTATTCTAACATGAAAATCAGTTATGTTTTTAAAGTTGAGATGAAATAAATGTACATCGATCTTTGAGAGATTTTTCATGTCAGAAAAGCTCGTACGCGATACAATTTCCAGACTAAATTATCCATTTCTGCTATTGTAACAAGCTTTCAAAATTAGCGCATTATAATAACGGTTCGGTCGGATGTTTAATTCATGTCGGTTAGTTGGAATTCGCGTTTATGCTTGTGTTATGCATCCAATTGCCAATACATCGGTTTTGTTAATCGGCGGGATTAGCCGGCGCTACTCCTTTGTATGCAAGTTCGACCCGTTCAATTATTTCCACGTATAACGTCGCGCTCCTGATACACGCATCCCGCGCATCGCATATCCCGTTATTGCTGATTGAATCGATCGGTTTTAATTTCGCGGTTACCGGTACCGTAAATCAATCTATCAGCAACATTCCCAATCTTGACCTCTATTAAATCATACGCTTAATAACGCTCCTTAGCCTAAACGTTGCGTTTTACTCTTTCTTTAAATTATAAGGATAATGAAAACAGCGTTTTGTCATTATTATTAATGACGAAATATTTTGAAGTCGTTTCTTTCATAATCTTGTTCAAATTAAAATTTCAATCCACGCACGAGTTTATATATTTATCGAAAGATTTGAGTCTCAGGAAATATAAGAAACGTTTTTTTTTTAATTATATACATTATATTAAAAATGTTTTAGGAACTAAAAAAATTATAATTCTCATGTGTCGATTTTAAAAATCAAGTTTCTCTGAATAAAAATAATTTTAATTTCTTAAGGAGAATTTCTACAATGTAAAATTGATATCTCATGGCAAATATTATATCAAATTTACAAATTTCTCTTAAGTACTAATAATAATTATTGATTTCATATTTAGTTTTGATATTTTATTTTTTAGGAAAATTATTGTAAATTAATTATTTTTAAGGACTTCTTTTATTAAATATTTTGTTGCATACAAGGTAGAATACTTTCACATACTTGGCGTATTTTTTTACCTTTGTAAGATTTTTTTAGATATATAATTATTATTGACACCAAATTATTGCTTCGAATGTGATCATTCAAAATACAGTTTTTTAGAGCTCATTACTTATGTCATGGTGTTATTACTAATGATCAAGCGTCAAAAAAGAAAACTCGACACACATTATTATCAAAGCGAATGGATCCGCACGCGTAAAGTGCACCTTGTTAATCTCGTTGTACAATTACGTCGTAACTACAATCCACGACAAACATCGGTTCGGACCGCGCGGGATCGCGAGGGATTAAATCGAGATCGGCAACGACCATTGTTTGGCGCCGAACTCGTCGATGATTTCCGCGCGTATACACGCCGGATTGACTTACTATTTGCGGCGACGCCTAGCCGCGTCATTGTCGCCGTTAATTGAAACGATCGTTTGCAGATCCGCGGTCGATTCTCTGCTCGGTAGCTAAGCCTCCCGTCCCCGCCTCTGCCTCTGTCTCCCTCCCCCAGGTGCGCACGTGCGACACGCAGGTGCGTGCGATCGGCATTTCGTATTTCCGTCACCGCATCTCGGTTGTTCACCAAACGCGCTCGCTCTCTGCTCTCGTCGCGACGCGAAAAATCGCCGAAAAAGCGAGACGAATTACAAACTGTGCGACAAATATTGGTGGAACATTCGCGGCGGAAATAAAAGTGCCGCGTGAATTTCGGAACTTTTTCTGTACTGATTCCATTTCTTCCATTTATATTTAACATGATAATTTTGCGATAATTATTTTATAATAATCAAGTAATGATTTTTGTAATGATTCTTAAGTTAGATGCACGCTAAACGTTGCTGTCGTATTAATTAATTTAAATATTATTACATGGATGAAATGCAGCTGAACACAATGATTGTCGTTAACAATTTAATTTATTTTGTGTGAAAATATTTTGAGCGTTATCAATGATAATGTTGCATCTCATTCTACGTTAGTGCGAAACTTTTCGATTTTCACCAAATTTCCTTTCCTCTCGACCTTTATTCAAGGTTTATTCGAGGAATGCGTTTATTTGTTAGAAAATGTCGTCATTAAAATATGTTTCGACAATTCCGGAATTTTTTTAGGGATACCATAGTATCGCAGCCGAGGACTATCGGACCATTCGCGCAAGCGGCGCGCCGATATTTCCCATTTTTACCAATTTATTGAAACGTCCGAATAGCGCGTATCCGATATTTTCAATCGAATAAATTTCGCTGCAAAAAATTCCCGGCGTGCGCGTTATTTTAGCTGCACCTGCGATCTCGAGGAGGAGTTACTCGCAGTTGCTGCCTCCACTCCACGGCAATCTCGCCCTTAACTCGGTCGTGCTCGGAGCGCGCGAAGCGCTTACTCCGCAAGTACAAATTGACTTTTTTTCTTCACCTCGCGGGACGTGCCTGATTGCTGAAAATGCAAAATAAACGGTAGCGCGGATGGTTATCCCGCCGACCTCAATCCGGCCCGTCCTTTTTTCCTCTCCCCCTCCCGTTCCCCCTCGAAACACGTGCGCGATGAAACGCGAATTTCTCTTTGTTCCGCGGATTCAGCCCGGAAACTTAATTCCCCTCCCCCCTCGAAGCTGTTACTTCACCTCGCGCCTCGCGTTTCTTCGTTTACCTATTCCGATGGAAATAAAGCGCGCTATCGCTGATAAAGAGGTCAATACCAATTTTGCCGGAGGAAATCGACGATAATGTTTCGGTTGAATGTCGGTCCATTAAGCCCGCTCCGTCTGATTCTTGAAAATGCACGGCGAGCAGCGACGCCGCCGAGGATAAATTAACCGTGACGTTAATCGTTATTTATGAGTATTCGCGCTTGGAAAAAAAAATAGGCGGCGGTCGAGTTTGCTCAGCAGATACGTTTCCTGCGCCGCGAATATAAGCATTATTCCCGGTTGTCGGTCGAGATGAGACGAGCTCGACATTTTTTCGAACCGATTCGCAATCCTTTTTTTACCTTTCGCCAAGAGCACCGTTTACTGCTTTTCCTCCATTCAATGCGTCTGATACTCCTCGCTCACGCGAGAGGTTTCCATGTAGATTTACGAGATTTGCATTATTTAGTTTCGTATCTGTTATCGAATCTCGTTAACCGAATCGCTATCGTTTCTAGAGCGTATCAGGCGTGGGAGAGAGAGAGAGAAAATACGATGAAATAAGATACTTACGCGAGTTGCGAGAAACGACGTAGAGGATGCACGTATGCACACCTGTATCATCATTTGCGCTTTAAACACAGTGGATAGGTCCGAAACCACTCGTTCCGTCAATAATGGGCAACAATAGTGACGCAAAATACATACATGACTGTTGCAATATCGAAGGAAAATACCGGGGCAGCATGTTCAATATTGCTCGATCGCATCTGAAAATTCAACGGTTTTGTTGCCTTTGAAAATGCATCCATCTGCACCGTGTCGTAGATATTGTTTTTGCCCCATTTGGCATTTTATTTATTGCATTACCGCTCTCTCCATTTCCGAAGAACATCTAGCGCTGTAAAAGAATGTTATAGAAGATATTTTTTTCAACGCTTCTATTTTTCTGTTGTTGCAAAAATGTGGAGCATCCAATAACCATCTCCCTGTCGAAGCATAAATTTATATTTCACGATCTCATAACGTATCACGCGCTCGTCGTTTAATTCGGATGAATTTGAAACTCGGAGTATCTTATCTCGTAATGCAAGATACATTATGCGAACAAACATTATTTCTCTTGCCCTTATCCATTAAGCGGATTACATCTCTAAGTAGCATAAATTACGTCTGTAAATAAGACAGTCGCCTCAGGTATGCGTCGCTCCTGTTTCAGATGTTTTGAGCGGTACCGCGTAGAAAGATGAAGACTGCGGTCGGCTCGCTCCTCCTCCTCCATCTCCTCCTCGTCAGCGGTGTCGTCTCCGTCGAGTGGAAGCACAGCGCCGTCCTGGACAACAATTTCTTGGTGCTGTGGACGCCCGGCGAGAGAGATGTTACATTCGAGATCCAAGTGAAGACCCTCGGCTACGTCGGACTCGGTTTCACCAAGGACGACGGCAACGCCGGGGCTGACATGGTCATCGGCTGGGTCGATAATAACGGCCAGGTCCACCTTCAGGTGAGCATCTTTTTATGTAGCATCGAGTAATATCTGGTTTCCTCTGCGGTTGCCAGCGAATCCCTTTCTCGTTTCTGACCGCGTTACAAAGTGCAGATATGCACGAATCGCGCGTAATTATGAACAAGCATAATATTTATGACTTGGAACGATCATCTGCATGGACTGCCCTTGAAAGGGTAGCAATCGTTATTCTTCGATAAGCAATTGTCGTGTTTTTTTAGAAATTTTGATTTTAAATATTATTGATAGCAAAAATTTCAGTTAAATTTTTATCAAAAATTAAAGATGTTTATTATATGATAAATATGACTTTATCTATATATGATAGATATGTGTTTTTTTAAGATTTCAATTTTCTTTCATTTTTAAATAATTTTACAACTAGTTTTTTCGGTGAAATTATTGACCATCATTTCGAGAAGAAAACGTCGATACGTCTCGGCGATTCTTGCTATATCGAATTCGATGCAGAGAGCTGCAAATGGAAACAGTCGCCGCGTAAAGTATTCGCATTAAAGCTCACTGATATTTAAATCAAGCACGCCAGCGTCCCGCTTGCGTACGCAAAATGCCGGAGGGGGCGAGAGTAATCGAGAATAATTATTTCCGTGCTACTGATCGAGTGGAGTTCCCCTCTTTGAATATTGTAAAGTCCGCCCTGGCACGCCAACATTGGCGATGGAACGCGCTTAATGGTAGTCATTCGGGAGATAAGTAATGGCTCTCCCGTTTCGATCGGCGCATCGGATAGTTATCAATCATGCCCACTAAAGCCGGCAGCCTGTCATTACGCGTTCTCCTCATTTTGCACGACACTCGGTAACATCGAGGACTTGATCGCCCGCGGAGGCGATTGCCTTACGTAATTTTTCCGCGAAAATACGGTTCCCGTAACTTGCTCATCATCCCGATGCTGCCCATCTTCATTGCGACTATAAAATAAATGTGTTCGCCGTTTATACCAACTAATCACGTTGTGTCTATATGTCTCCCTCTCGTACAAAAGTGAATATATTATTCAATTATATGTTCAACTTTCAAAGTATATTTAATCTATTGCGAGAGGTGTATCCCTTTGATAGATGAGGAAGGTCAATGTTTTCGTTCAAAAAAAAAATAATAATAATAGAATCATTATTTCTTAATTATTATGTAAAGTGATTTTTTTCTATTCAAGATCAACTTATGCATACGACGTAAGATGTACGATTGCGTCGTCGCAACTTCGGCTCAATGTACCGCTATTTAATTTCGCGCCTGCAAAACCCGGATCCGCAAACTTTCCTCGGATATATCATGAACTGTCCGCACTGCGGTTAAATCCAACGCCGCCGTAATAGTTCGGAGTTAATATCATGTGCATGTGCGACGTGAATGCCGGCGGGGGTGGTTCTTTGAATAACAAGACGTCATTCAGAGAGAGAGAGAGAGAGAGAGAGAGAGAGAGAGAGAGAGAGAAGGTTTATGGCACACTGAAAAGCGAGAGAGAAGAGAAAGAGACTCCCGCGAAGGCCCGGGCGTTGTAATCTAATTTGCGCGATTTTCACGGGAATTTTCGTGGCGGAGCCACGTGGATTATTCTCGGGCGTTTTTAAATTTAAAACGTCGTTAGTCGCGTATCCGGGTACGCGGACCCTCTTCGGGGACCGGACGCGAAGGGGATTACACGCTATCCACTCTTTCATCAGCGCGTTACGCGGCCGTTGACAGTTTCTGGCCCGGTTCTTTACAACATGGCCGGTATGTCGGTTTTTCTTCATCTCTTTTTTTCCGCCGGTTTTTTTCCCTCCCGTCGTATCTCTTTCGCGAGGCGAGCGAACTGAATCAACGAGAAAGGGAAGAGCGTCGTATCGCCCGAGCTTTTTACCACCATTTTTACCGACCACGTCGCGAAACATTCATTTCGCTTCGCCCATTATTCTTCAGTTATCCCGCATAGATTTATCAGCGGCTGCTACTTTGCGCTGAGCTTTTCGTCGCATATTAGGACGTCAAAGGAAACACCGCGCGAATGCCTCCTCTGTCCATTTTTACTTCGGGCGTCAGCCATATAACACCATCGTGTTATGAAATTTCTCGGCGAAATTATAATACGGTATATCGCATAGATTTTTCTAGATCAAAGAACAGTTGCGGGGACGAAGTTATTCAAGCAAAGATATATATTTTTGAAAATGTCTCTCGTAGTCTTATTATATTCTCATGCTTTTATTTCGGTAATAATGATACGATAGAGATGCTAGCGGTTTTATTCTGTTTTAATTAAACATTTCATTGATTACTGTGAAAATATTTTGTGCGTAATTAATATAATCTTTGAACTATAAATTTAGTTATGATATTATATAATATTTAATCTAAAATATTATAAATTATTACTATGGATATTAAAAATATTTGGGTAATGAAATTGCGCGATTAATATTTAATATAGATTTTGAAATAGGAATTTGTCACTCGCGATATTTTGTTGCGTGTTTGACATTTAATATTTAAATAATACGTTTCTGAGAAAAGATGTAAATAAATCGCTCTTCACTCGCTGTCATCATAAAAAATTCGGGAATTCGTTTTTGCGGAAAATTGCTTATATTTATACGATCGCGATTGGTCGGTGTCGAGTTTGCTGCATTTACATTACAGAGATCCCTCATTTCTTGTAAAGTGGAAAGCAGTGGTAATCGGGAAGATGGGATATAGAAAAGCAATCTTCCACGAGTATCACGAGGATTGACCGAAAGTAGTAGGTAAAGTGTAGATCGGTACGTAAATATATATCTCTCTGTATATCAGTGTTTCCCAAATGACGTGATCCAGAATACTTTGACATTTCTGATGAATCGAAAGCAGAGACAATAATTTCAATTTTCATGATTTTACTTATTCATTTTTAATCATTTTGTTTTAATCACTTTTATTATTCACATGCTGTAATTTCTTTATAAAAGTTTAATATGTAAATCAATTTGATTAAGCTAAATATATCCTAAAGTCACGTATTATTATTTTCCACAAAAATATCCTGACGAAATATCCTGACGAAAATCGAATCTCGATGTATATCATGATTTTAATTTAGATAAGTATATTCGGCGGAAATGATGAAATTGTTAAACTTCAAAATACGCTCTAGCATCTCGCTCTTGTACAGCAGATATATAATACATGAGTCGATGTATAAATTGATGAACTGGGATACACACACGGGCGCGAGAGCCATCGAAAACGATATTGGAAAAGAGCGAAATTATACAGGTTTCTTTTCTCGAATGTCACACAATTACGAGCTCTATGACTGCTGACGCTCGAAAGGATTCCGGCGTATAATAAATTGGGAAACACTGCTCCGCCGTAAATGGGATAGATGGAGAGAGCGGAGGTAGTCGGTTTACAGATCGCGTCCGTCTCGCGTGTCCGCAATTTTTCCGGCAGAGTCGTTGCTCGCTCGTTCCATAATGCATGCCGTGCAATGCTCTATGCGATGCGGCCGCGTCGCCGGACGTTCTCATACGTCGTGAAAGAGCGGAGCCGATAGAGGATGAGGAGGACGGGAGAAAAAAAGAGGAGGCGAGTCGAGGGACTCGGGGAAAGAAAAAAGAGAGAGAGAGAGAGAGAGAGAGAGATGGAGGAGGTGGGCTGGCATCTCCAATGGGAGCGAGAAGCTTTTTCGTTATGATCGTAATCTTAGAACCAGACCAGCCGCGGGCATCCGGACCAGCCGGACGACTCGACTGCTATCCCGCTCGATTTCTCACTCGTCCCGCAGCCGTCGCCCCGGTCGATACGCGACTTTAATTCGCCATTTGCGTGGGCGATGCGAGGCGGATTCCCGCTGGAATCCCATATGCACGCCGGCATGTCGAGGGAGAGATCGCCCGAGTGTGTTTGTCCACGCGCAGGACTGGCGTGTAACGAGCAAAGTCACTCCGATTGCGATATCATATGCATTACACGCGGGCAAAAAACGGATTCCCTCCAGTTTATCGAGAAATTTCCGCCCATGTTTGTTGTTGGCGCTCAAATATTCTCCTCCCTTCTCGCGCGGGAGAATAATTGTTGCCGTAGCTGTAAAAAAAAAGGGCGCAATTTTGAAAAGTTGGAGAGACGATGGAGAATCTTGCGATGTCGAGATCTCCTCTCGAGCGGATATGTATTGTTATTCAACTCGATTATTTTGCATGGTAAATTTCGCCGCGGTGCCGGCAATGCCTCCAGCGTCTGGTTGTTTGCTGAATAAATGATACACCCGGTAATACCGCCAGTCACAGTGCGCGCTACTCGTGAAATTCGTGCGTGTAACCGGAATAACGGACGAGAGGGAGGAGAGGGGGGGGACAGGAGAGAGTATGGCAAATAACTGGTTGAATTAATAAAGTCGGCGCAACAGGGAGATATCGCTAAATCATAGAAGACTCGTGGGATTAACGCTGGTGCGCGCGCGAATGAGCGAGCGAGCGCGAAATAAAGCGCGCGCGAATTGCGCATTCGGCGTTTTGCGCTTTCGCCCCCGCTTTCGCATAATCCCCCGTAATGCTCCTGTAGATTGCATTTTCAACGAGGCCAAATAATTGCATCCAATTGCGAGATGTTTAATTCGTTACGTTCCTCGCGTATTGTTTTGCGGCCTGGTAGCGCGATATATTCGCGGACAGCTTTATTAAAATATTCTGCGCGCTCGCACGCGCGCGCGCAGTTTCCTCCCTCTCTCCCTCCCTCCCTCTTTCTCTCTTGTCACAACGCGGCAGTCTTTATTGTCGATTTGTATCGTCGCATCTCGCACCTTCCGCTATTTTAATAACGCGCAATGAGGCGACGAGAGCGATGAATTAACGCATTCTTTCGCGCTCTTCTCCGCGAGATGCCGCGCGAAGTTTTCGCTCAATTTAGACCCCGTTCCGGGATGAGATTTTTAATATCTCGCATTGCCTCGAGAAACGCGACGTCCTTTTTAAATAACCGCGTTCGTACACGGAGAAAAATATCATTCTACTGCCAAG